CCTGCTGCTGGACACCAACACCAACATTGAGATCCCATCCCAGTGTCCCTGTCCCAGTGTCTTTGTCACTCTGTCCCTGTTCCTGTCCCCACTGATGTCCCCACTGATGTCCCCAATGTCCCCACTGGTGTCCCCAGGCCGAGAACCTGCTGCTGGACACCAACACCAACACAGAGATCCCATCCCAGTGTCCCTGTCCCTCTGTCCCTGTTCCTGTCCCAATGACCCCATTCCTATGACAATGTCCCCAATGTCCCTGTCCCCACTGATGTCCCCAGGCCGAGAACCTGCTGCTGGACACCAACACCAACATTGAGATCCCATCCCAGTGTCCCTGTCCCAGTGTCTTTGTCACTCTGTCCCTGTTCCTGTCCCCACTGATGTCCCCACTGATGTCCCCAATGTCCCCACTGGTGTCCCCAGGCCGAGAACCTGCTGCTGGACGCCGACGCCAACATCGAGATCCCATCCCAGTGTCCCTGTCCCCATCCCAGTGTCACTCTGTCCCTGTTCCTGTCCCAGTGTCATTGTCCCCACTGATGTCCCCGTGTCCCCAGGCCGAGAACCTGCTGCTGGACGCCGACGCCAACATCAAGATCGCCGACTTTGGCTTCAGCAACGAGTTCTCGCGGGGCTCCAAGCTGGACACGTTCTGCGGCTCGCCGCCCTACGCCGCGCCCGAGCTCTTCCAGGGCAAGAAGTACGACGGGCCCGAGGTGGACATCTGGAGCCTGGGGGTCATCCTCTACACGCTGGTCAGCGGCTCGCTGCCCTTCGACGGACACAACCTCAAGGTGACCGCCCAGAGCCCGGGGGCACCGCCTGGTATTGTCCGGTCACTGCCCGGTCACCTGTGGGCACCTGTGCCTGGGGACCGTCCGGTCACTGCCCGGTCACTGCGTGGTCACCTGTGGTCACCTGTGGTCACCTGCTGGGGACCATCCGGTCACTGCCCGGTCACTGCACGGTCACCTGTGGTCACCGCCTGGTATTGTCCGGTCACTGACCACTGGCAGCCCGGGGGCACCTGCTGGGGACCGTCCGGTCACTGCATGGTCACCTGCTGGGGATTGTCCGGTCACCACTGCCTGGTCACTGCCCGGTCACCTGTGGTCACCTGCTGGGGACCGTCCGGTCACAGCGCGGTCACTGCGTGGTCACTGCGTGGTCACCTGTGGTCACTGCCTGGGGATTGTCCGGTCACTGCGTGGTCACCTGTGGTCACCTGCTGGGGACCGTCTGGTCACTGCCTGGTCACTGCACGGTCACCTGTGGTCACCTGTGGGCACCTCCTGGTATTGTCCAGTCACTGCCCGGTCACCTGTGGTCACCGCCTGGTATTGTCCGGTCACTGACCACTGGCAGCCCATGGGCACCTCCTGGGGACTGTCCGGTCACTGCGGGGTCACCTGTGGTCACGTGTGGTCATCTCCTGGGGATTGTCCAGTCACTGACCGCTGGCAGCCCGTGGTCACCTCCTGGGCACTGCCCGGTCACTGCGTGGTCACCTGTGGTCACCTCCTGGTATTGTCCGGTCATTGTGTGGTCACTGTGTGGTCACTCAGTCCTGGGCCACTCCATGTGACCCCTGAGCTCCCCACGGGTCATCTGGTCAGTGGTCACTGAGTGACCCAGGATGACCCAGAGTGACCCCTGGTGTCCCTCATGTCCCCAGCTGACCCCGAGTGACCCCAGTGACCCTGACTGACCCTGGGTGACCCCGCTGACCCCAGTGACCCTGAGTGACCCCAGCTGACCCCAGTGTCCCCAGTGACCCTGACTGACCCTGGGTGACCCCAGCTGACCTTGGGTGACCCCAGCTGACCCCAGTGACCCTGAGTGACCCCAGTGACCCTGAGTGACCCCAGTGACCCTGAGTGACCCCAGTGACCCTGAGTGACCCCAGTGACCCTGAGTGACCCCGCTGACCCCGGGTGACCCCAGCTGACCCCAGTGACCCTGAATAGCCCCGAGTGACCCCAGTGACCCTGACT